AAGTGTGTACACATGGCTCTCTTCTCTCTCTTTCCCCACAAATCTCTATACTCAACCTCAATCTGAAATCATAGTCTATCTACATCACTCAAACACTCAACTTTTACTCAACTTTTATTCAATATGTAAAACAATATACAAATCAATAGAAACTCATAAGTTATTTTTTATATTTTCCACCAATGAAAAAAAAAAAAAAAATCCTTGACCAAAAATAGATCTTCCCAGAAAAGCTAACTCTGACCGAGAAATATACGAGAAAAACTCTATTCAAATATAAGTAAATATCAAATTTTCATATAATATTTTAAACTATTCAACAATTGATAGAGTACATTCTTTAAATAAATTTAGTAATTTTTCAATTTGTGTATAGAAACAATCATATTCTTTTGGAAAAATAAATAAATAAAATAAAATAAAGAAGAAACTTTGGAATTTGGTTTAACCAGTAAAAAAATGGGTAATGATTATTTTTAGAAAATTTAAAATTTTAAACATGTATCGAAATTGTATTGGGCCACGTCAATTAGGAGGATGAATTTTATCCTCCAAAGGGAGAACCAAGTATTGTCCTTTTTTTTTTCCTATCTCTAAATCTTGATAAAAAGATCCTTAGTAATTTGTCATATTTACGACCTGAACTTTTATATATAATTGGGCATAAATACCTTCGAATGTTATATGTTGAATTTGATTATTGGTGCATTTAAGTATTAGTCCGAAAAAAAATTAAAAAAACAAGTATTGAAAAGTTGTAGGACTGAATTTTTAAGAAATGAATTAAAATTTTCGAAATTTGTTTGCTATTGTTTGGATATGAATATCAAATTTATTTAATATTATTTATTAAAAAAATATTTTTTAATTTTTACAAATAATTTTTGCACCTAATTCTCCAGTATACTCTTTCGATATTGAAGTTGAAATGGACCACGATTCCCTTGTATTGTTGATTTTCAAATCATATTTTTTCATCAACATTTTTTAGAACTTATGATATTCCCTTGTAGAACTTGATTTTCAAATCATATTTTTTCATCAACATTTTTTAGAACTTATGATATAATTAAAATTTGAGTGCAATGGTCAGGGTGTTTGATTAGGCTTTTTATTTCTTAGAGCACTTAGACATCCAACTTGCTTAGCTTGCTTTCCATGTGCAACCCATATTTATAGTCTACTTTTTCAAGATTTTTCCATTTTTACAAAAATATCTATAATTGTATATTATTTTTTCATAGATCCTAAATTTTTGTAAACATATTTCTCACATGTCATTTAAAAAAAAAAAAAAAAAAAAAAAAAAAAAAAAAAAAAAAAAAAAAAAAACTATCTAGATATTACTAGTCTTTGGATAATATGTCAGATTTCTATTATCCTAGAAATTTTTAGAATAATGTATCAATTCTTAACAATTTTGATGTATATTTTGGATATGTGGTGCTCTCGTTTGGAAAGTTCAGTTGAAAATTTATACATTTTTTTGGTATTCAGAAACTACCAAAAAATTAGCTAAAATTAGCTAATATTGTCCATAATACATTTAGTTGTATACATCAGTTAAAATTAGCTAATATTGTCTAAATAATGTATAAATTTTCTATATTTGGAAGAAAAACAGAGTTGTCTATTGTAGAATAATTTATTATTCTTGGGCCAGACTTAGGCCTTAGGCATTGTTCCCAAGCACACCCATAAAATTTATTCCTGGGCCGGGCCTACGAGTCTATGATCACTGTCCAAGTCCTTCAAAGGCCTGATGCCGAACAATTGCATCGGTTGCTTCTCCCACTACAAACTTTACTTATGTTGCATTTGGAAGCACACGCTTTGGATTGAAAAAAATTTAATTTAAATTTTTAATAAAATTTCTTCTAATTCCAAATCTAATTCGCGAATTCAATACTCCTAAACATAATATTAACGAACAAAATATGCAGAGATATTGCACTTTCATTCTGGACCCTTTCATAAAAGGCCCCCATAAATGGAGGATACAATTTGTTTGCTTTTAGCTTGTTGCTAGTTTGGTCTGTGTCATTTTCTCTCCAGATTTGTTTGGTTTTCTTTGTATATTTCTCATTCTCTTTTGTTCAATATAATACATTTACCTTACACACACACAAATATATATATATATATATATATATATATATATATATATAGCTGCAAATGAACCGAGCTGTTCGGACTCGGCTCGCTAAAGGTTTAGCTCGAACTCGTTCGTTTAATAAATGAGCTGAGCTCGATCCCAATTTTCAAACTCTTTTAGTAAACGAGCCGAGCCCGAATAACGTTGGATTCGACTTGTATAGGCTCATGAATATGGAATTGTTATATATCTATACATATTTATATATATAAATATGATTCAGGATAGTGACTTTGAGCTTTGTTTTTGGGCCTACAAGTTAGGTTTTACTGATTGAAACTGGAAGTATCACTGGGTTGTCTAATTTGGGCTATATCATTTAATTTGGGCTTGTCTATATTATGGTTTAGATGCACATTATTCTTATATATATAATAGAAAATGATATTTCAACCGAAGTATTTGACCATACTTTAGCAGAAACTGTGGCCTATCCAGCTAGGCCACTTCCATTTCTTTCTCTCCCATCTCTTCTCTCCTTTCTTTCTTTTTCTCATTGTATTTCTCTCTCTAATATCTCTTTGAAATTTTTTTATAAACTGTAAAGAACAATATAATCAAACAAATAAATACTCATATTTACCTTCCAAAAAAAAAATTACACATATGATACAATATATAAAAATATATATGAATATGATATATGATATGAAGTTGCAACCATATACTTTAAAAATCAAAAGTTCTTTCTTTTTTCTTTTTTCTCGAAATGAAGAGGAGAGATTTGATAACTATCAGAAGAGATAAACTTAGTCTAGAACTTGACAGCTTGGGAAAGATGAATCTGCGGACGCGTATATTGTTTCTCTTTTTATTTTCTTTCCTTTTTTTAATTGTTAAAGTTGCTTACCTGAACTGCCATGTGTACTCTGCCAAACTAATTTGCCAAAATCATTGGCCCATCTATCACTACCCATATATAATACAAGTTTACCTTTAGGATTTTTTATTTTTTTATTTTTTATTTTGTGAAATACTAATTAATTTTGAGAACAAATTTTTTTTTTTTTTTTTTAAATTATTTTTATTAAACGAGCAGAGCTCGAGCTGTTAAAATCGAGCCGAGCCCGAGCAAACTCCGTAAGCTAACGAGCCGAGTTCGGCTTGGTTCATTTATAGCCATATATATATATACACATATACATACTTAGCAAATGGACAAATTAAGCCACCCTTAGTACAAGACGAAAACTATCACAGAAATTACAAACTTCCATTGTCATTGCATTACTATCCCAAGTTCATAATATCCTTATTTCAAATGCGTAAATATCATTACTTTGATTTCTTGACACCCGTATCGAAAGTACAATATTTTTAACTCGAGTTCGCGACACTTTCTAGTATGACAATGCAATATCGAATTTTCGTCATTACTTTTAGTTCGTGGTACCCTTATTTTCAAGTTTGCAATCTTGAAAATAAGGTTGTCACAAATTCAAAATGGTAGTGTGCAACAAACCTTTTTTTTTTTTTTTGTGTCCAATGTGTGCAACAGAGTTCAAGTAGTGATTTTACACATTGGAAACAAAGAAGTCACAAGCTTGAAGTGATGATGATATATATTGTTGGCAATGCACAGAAAGGAGAAAGATGTACGGGAGAGGAGCTGTATCCCTTGGGCATTTTGTGGATCCCAATGTGAAGAATATATATATATATTTGAGAAGTACCTCCTCTATGTCTAATCTTCGTCACCCTGGGGATTGAAACCCATTTGCACCCATAAAAGGTGTCAAACAGCATCTCCTTTTTGTTTTGCATACAAATAGCATATATAACCCCATGCTAACTTCACATTTATGCACCATTTCAAGATTCTTTCGTGTCAGCATTCAAAGCTAACTTTAGCACAGTGCCATCGTCACTGAGAAGGTATTCGGTATGTCCGGTGCACCGTAGTACTTCGGTGTGTCTGGTGCACCGTGGACACATCAAAGTCGTTCATGCATGATGTGCATAGTGCATGCACAACAGGCACGAAAACAAACAGCTCCGATTGTCTGGTGCAACAGACACACCGTATATATTCTCATCATCACCTTATATATACTATCTCGTTCTCACTCAAGAAAATCCAACACAAAACAGTATTTCAGTATGAGTGCCAAATCTTCAACCACATAATCTGCTAATGTTATCTTAAGCATATTTTGCTAATGTTATCTTAAGCATATTTTGGGATAGATACATATTCAGCCCTAGATTTTTAGAACATTTATTTGGCCAATTATTTTATACGGGCGTAGAAATTTGGGCTTTAAAAAAGAAGCAAAATAATGCATTCATGCAGAGGAAATGAAGATGTTAAGATAGATGATAAGAGTCACTAGAAGAGAAGGGTTACAAATCAAAATGTTAGAAAAATTAGGTGTGACGCCTAACAGTGATAAGATTATAGAGAGTAGATATAGGTGGTATGAACACATACATAAAAGACCAATAGATGCACTGGTGAGAAGAATAATGTTAATTTGCATAAAGAGTAGGAAACAGAGATCGAAGGCGCTTGAAATTAACATATATGGAACGAAATTGTTATAAATAATTTTAATAAGTTAAATATTAGTAAAGAGATGGCTTGTAACACAATAGGATGGGAAAAAAGACAAGGATGATGACCATATATACTCATTCATTTGGAATAAAGGTAAGGAGGATGACATATTCACCCTGAGGTGTTAGATAAATATCAAACAGTTCATACGTTTAATTAAACACACACATGGGCACAAAAAGGAAAAGAAAAAAGAAAAATGAAAAACAGAAAGATCAATACACTAATATTCTGTATTAATTGGAAGTAAATAAAGTTTGTGGTAGAAGGAATGAATATAAATGCAAATGCAGTTGAAATCTCGTTTTTTTTATTTTTTGGTAGGTAGGATTTTTCTAATATTGTATGGAAGAATAGATGATAAAATTACAGTGAGAGAGAAGACTGATATGACCAAAAGTAAGCTGAAATACAAAATCAAAGGAGAATAGTGAAGAGCTCTTTTGAGTTTAATACAATTAAAGAGGGCCCTTAGCATCCTCCTTGGAAGCTAACTCAAAATGCAATAAAAGCAGAGATATCGATAAAGCTTAATTACCGATCGAAAGTCGAATCTAGGCTAACCTTGCCATGATCTTTGATTTTGATTTTGATGGTCATATGATGATGAAGAGTTATTCATCTGATCAAGCCGACCCATGTTGGGGAAGCCACTATGAGAAAATCTTCTAAGACCCAAGAAATCTCTAGTCAACCCATCATTCCCACCACCACCACCTTCATTATATCTTCTATTCATCAAATGGGCTTCTGTTGCTTGTTTTGTGAGTGTTGCCTGTAAATTGCTATCCATTTTGGGATTTAGGATTCCGTTAAACGCGTCTTCAAATGATGATCCTTCAAACCCACTGGTAGAAGACAAAGAACTCATCACATCATGAAGCAGATCAGAAGAAGGATGAGCACCTACTTGTTCCATGAAACCACTAGAGTTGGCAACAGCTTTATTCCCAAAAGATGCCAGCCCATGAACAAACCCACTGCCCACCTCTTCATGTGAGGACAAGCCCAGACCAGCAGAACCAGCTGTAGATGAGGCCAATGATGTAGAACACATGAACCCAACAGCTTCTGCTGTTGTCTTCGCAGTCATGTGAGCTTGGTGGGGCCTAATTAGCATGGTCTGATCTGATGGACAAGGTTTGCTCATTGTCACACCCATCTGTGCTGCTTTTTGCAGCAATGCAGTTGCAGACATGTGAGGGGAAGCAGCAGCAGTGGATTGGTGAAAGGGAGGAAGAGGAAGTGCATTTGGATTAGAACTAGGGCTAGGGTTAGGACTAGGGTTAGGGTTTTCTTGGTGCATAAATGATTGACCTAACCTTGATGCACTGAATAACTGTGAGGACAATTCCATAGGTGGGGGATCTGAAGAAGCAGCTAACCATGGTGGGTTCATGTCTGGCCTTAAGTTGAAACTTTGTTGTTGTTGGTCTTCATGTTCTCTTTTCAGTGAAAATGCTTGGAAGCCATGGTTGTGGAGTTGAGGTTGAAGGTTGAAAAGGGGTGATGAAGTGCCTGGTTGTAAGGAGAGGAGTGGGTTTGTTGAGATTGTTCTTGCACCCTCTTCTGCTAAAGCATCACAGAAGGCTCTGTGAGTAATGAAACTGTCCCTCCTGTGAACAAAGACAAACAAGCACAAGAAACAAAAATAAACAACAATCACAATGCTGCTTTCAGAGCTAGAGTAAGTACTCTCTCTCTATCTCATCACTTTTTTTTTGCAATTTTTTCCTTTCTCTCTACATGGACAAAAGACATATCAGATATAACCATTAAAGCCTTCTATGCTAGATGCTTTAGCAGTACTGAAAATATAATATTTAAATTTCAACTTTGTCACAAGCCCACGCACACACAAACCCGTAATCACATAAATTGAGAGTTGCATAGAGATTAGAGATTAGTCATGAGATTTAACACTTCCAAAATCTCTATTACTTACACACACCACACACACACAAGAACACATGACCAAAAACATTGCAGCATGTAGGAGAATATTTAACTTAAGCAAAGGGGAAATCTAATTTTTTTTTCATGAATGTGAAATAATATTCTTTATCATGCATATATATGGGTGTGTGTGTGTGTATTCACCATATATATATATATGGTGAGTGGGATGTTCTAGCTAGCTTGTTAGCTTACCTAGAGAAAAGGGTACCACAATCACATCTATACTCTCTAGTGCCACAAATCTTGGAGTGAGCTTTCCAATCAGACTGAACAGCGTAACGCTTTGAGCACTTTTCACACTTCCACTTCTTCTCGCCGTGCTTTCTGGAAAAGTGCTTCTTGATCCCAGTGAGGTCCCCAAGAGCCCTTGAAGGGTCATGGTGGACACATGTAGGCTCTGGACACACATACACCTTCTTCTTCACCACCTCATCTTTGTTTGTTCTCTGCTTCAACTTCCATGGCAAATTGTGCCCTCTTCTGTGAAGCTGAAGGTTCTGATCTCGCTTAAATCCTTTGCTACAGATCTCACATATGAATCTGTTTGTTGCCATAAGAGTTCCCGGGGACAAAGCTATCACATCTGCATCTGGATCTGCACATACGATTCAAAATCATGTTCGTCAAGTAAGATACCAGACCTCGAATCCTATCCAAAGGGTTGAAGTAGAAATAGACTCCAAACCCGAACAGGCTTGCGAAGATTGATAAGAAAATTTTAATTAAAACCCACATGAATAATTAATTCTAGAAAATGAACATATATAGTAATATATTAATTGAAAATTTGCATTATGGGCTAGCTAGGTATTAATTCATGAGTTGATGATGAAGTAATTAATCATGAATTTGATTGATTGATTTAATTACCTGGATTTCCTGGAAGACATCTCTTCTTCTTTGGTGGTAGTGGTGGTTGATTTGGTGATGCAAGAGACTGTTGAGGGTACATGGAACCAATTTCATTTCTGTTGCTTGAAGATAAACTTGCATCATTGGATGCAGAAGTCAAATTTGACATATTGTCATCTAAAATCATATCATTCATCATCACCTTCTCTCTGTAGTACTCTAGATCTCTCTCTCTCTATATATAGTGATAATTTCACTGGTTTTTGTGGATGAGAACAAGGATGAGCCACAAACCAACTTCTTCAACTGTGACTGTATTCTACTTGAGATCCGAATGCAAACCCTAATTTAGGAAGTTAAAAAAAAAGGAGATAGTGATGAAATTCAGCAATTAATATGAATTTCAGCTCTCACATAGTATATAGTTTCCACCATATCTCATCTTCAGTACTGCAGGCCTCCTAAGAATTAAAAAAACAAATAAATTAATAGAAAAGAATGGGAAAGAGGAATAAGAAAAGTAATACAAAACACAAAATGGAAAAGTAACATAAAATTTCAAAGTGAATTTACAGCAACAAACCTTACATGCAGTCACCAATATTCTTCATTTTTGAGAGATGACTTTTGCTTGATAGTTGCTAATACCAAGAAAAAACTCATCAAATCCATACATATAAGTACAAATACAAAACCCAAAATTTCTATAAGATAAGAGGAGCTTCAAAATGTATGAGAGAGAGAGCTAGAGAGAGAGAGAGAGAGAGAGAGAGAGAGGACGCAAGGGATGGATACCTCTTTAGTCCTCCACCCATCAGAACCACATTCCAAACCAACAGGTTTGCTCTGACGTTGCACTTTGTCTTTTCCTTTGTTCTCTTCTCAGTCTTAGAAATATTACCTCTTTCATTATTGTATTTGCTTTTCGATTGTAATTCTCTTTCAAGCAAAATACTACTCTTTCTAAAATTTTGGTTAATTCACATGCACCAGTACCACCTTTCCCTTCCATTAGAAAAGTAGAAATAAAGTAACCAACTGTAAAAGATCCCTTCCATTAGAAAAGTAGAAATAAAGTAACCAACTGTAAAAGAGCCAGATGTTACATACTTATATGCTCAACATTGTTAGAGAGAGAGAATGTGTGTGTGTGTGTGTGTGATAGAGAGAGAGAGAGAGAGAGAGAGAGATGATTAGGAGTTGATTTATGGACTTTTAATCTTATGGGTAACTGCGGAGTAAAAAGTCACTCCACTTTCTTCTCTGGGCTTTCACTCTGATCACATGATTGGTTTAGTGATTAAATTCCAACAGACATTCTCATGAAAAGCTGTTCTCTTTTTCTTTAATAAGTACTAATAAATTGATTTTGTATTTTAACTTAATTAATAGTATGCTTTTGTTCATTTATTATTTATAAAGTACAATCAACATTCATTATAGAATAGTTGAACTTCTGACATATTCTTGGTTCATGAAATTATACTAGGGTAAAAAGGAACAGATTTGGTCCCCATTGCTAGCTGCACAATCCATCATCACTTATTTTACCACACAGAGAGAGATAGAAAGAGAATATGACTTTGGTCAAATGCAACACGGGTGTTTAGTCTTGGGTGTTTAGTCTTTGCACCTAACACTTGTTTTCTGGCTTTCTTATTGCAAAAATAGGGACCAGAATTTTTATAGGTCTCACTAAAAAAAATGGTATGTCATTGTCTACCATGCAATAATTCAACAAGTTTCAATCAACTGATTGTCACACTGCTGGACTAAATATTCTCCAAAGTTTACGCGGTTTACATAACCCTATTCCAAAAATAATTTTTTTTATCTCGATCGTGACATATTACATATATTTATATTGTTTATAAGATATTTTGAAAACAGTTTCAGTAATTGTATATCTAACTTTGTTCTTTTAAGAGGGCTTATTAGAGGCTCATTAACTAGTCTATGCTCTTGTTTGGGAGAATCAAATGTATTGAATTAATTAGGGAGTCGTTTTCACAAAATTCATGTATTATATTAAGGTTAGATGGATCTACAATAAATTTATATAATTTTTATAAAAGAGAATAATTCATATTGTCTATGTCATTTCTCCATTAGAAAAGGTTGGCAACATAGTGACTACGACATATACTAGTGACTAAAGTGTAAGGCAGTGAAAGAGTCCTAGAGAGGTATCCCTAAAACAATGCTAGGTCAACGATTCAGAGGTATGTACACCACGAAGAGTTTAAAAAAAAAAAAAAAAAAAACGCTTGGCCACAGAGAAATACAAAATTAAACAATTTTTAGTCAATAAATAATGGCCCATCTTCAAGTAATTAGGTTCTAAATTAAGTGAATGGAAATTAATACAAAATTAAAGTTTAATAGAATTTATACATTTAAAGCCAGGCAACAATGGTGAATTATCTTTTTGTTAACACCTGATTAGGTATATACCTAATGAAAAGTAAATTGGTATGTCTTGATAGTCATTTCTTTCAAATTCAAATTGACTCTTCATCAGTGCATGAAATTCTCGTTATTATAAATCAGACGATGATCTAACTTTACCTTGGTTACCTCCGTATTACTTTTGAAGATGCAAGAAATTCATTCTTCTTTCTTTCTCTAGAATTCTTACACTTCAATAGAATCAAAATCCCCCCTCTTATCCACCATTTATAGACCATTACAACTATTCTCACTAACTGATTACATTGGGCCTATATTCAAGGGTTTTCTTCCTTTTGGGTCTGATTTTCCAATGGGCTTGATCTTCCTCAGTGGATCCTCTAAGTTTGGCCCATTTCGTGGTGCTTTTGCATGGGCCATACTTCAATTGTTCGACCCGATCCCATGCCAGCGAGCTATAACCGGCTCATGCCACTTACTGCATTCTCAACTGCCCCCATAATTACTCCCTATTGATTAGGGGGTAATTATTAGAGGCTGCTAATCATGACCTGATGGCTCGAGAAGATCGCGTGGGAGAATGGAAGGTTAGATTTGGGGGTCGGCGTTTCGAGATTCAAAAAACTCCTCGCTTTCCTGACTCCTCGACCCTCAGGCCCACCTTGTCTTTATAAGCCTCATAAATGTTCCATCGATTCTCTTTACCGTCTCCATCTCACTTTTTGTTGTTCGAATCTTCTCCGGCGATTTCTTACAAAAGATCCTCCTTCCAATGACCTTGCAGTACTCTTTGCCGTTCTCGCTTTCTGAGGTTAGTTTCATTTGCATTTTTCTTTTGGAAGACCTCTCTCTCTTCCTTAAAATCTTCATTCATTCTCACCATGACTGTAGATCTAGATGTTCTTCGTATGAAACTTCACCTCCCTGACGATGTACAAATTAGAAATTGCCCCCGAGAGGTGAATATTAGAACCGGTGCTGGCCTTCTTCCCGGCGAGGTTCTGTTTTCACTCCTTCATCTTAATCTCCTTAGGTTCCCTTTGCATCTCTTCTTTTGCTATGTTTTCAACAAACTAAAACTTTCCCCTTTGCAAGTAAACCCAAATTTCCTTAGGATTTTGTCTATTATGCTATTTCTGATCCATGACAGAGGTCTAGATCTGGACCTCATAGATCTTTTCCTCTGTTACAAGGTTAGTAAGATCAGAACTGATGAACTGTTTTACCACTTTTTTCCCATTGAGAAGAGGTCCATTTGCACAGATAAAATCATCTTCGAAAAGGGTTGGAGGAAAAATATAATTGGGGTTAAGGGAGCCTGGTTTCCTCCAGCTGCGGAGGATTTCCCTATCCCGAGCGCTTTTGGAGAGTGCTCTGTCTCTTCTTACAAGAGATACAAAACCCATAAGAGTGGTTTTTAACCATGTGGTCGTGGGTTCGATTCCCACAGACGGCGCCAATTGAAGATGCATAAAATTCATTCTTCTTTCTCTTTCTAGAATTCTTACACTTCAATAGAATCAAAATTCCCCCTTTTATCCACCTAGACCATTACAAATATTCTCACTAACTGATTACATTGGGCCTATATTCAAGGGTTTTCTTCCTTTTGGGCCTGATTTTCCAATGGACTTGATCTTCCACAGTGGATGCTCCAAGTTCGGCCCATTCCGTGGTGCTTTTGAATGGGCCATACATCAATTGTTTGACCCGATCCCATACCAGCGAGTTATAACCGGCCCATGCTACTTACTGCATCCTCAACTTTCTTGTCACAATAGATTAACATTAGAAATGGTTTAATTAGCTTTCATTTGTCATTTTCATGATCTACACTTTACGATAATATATAATCAGAGGACAATAATTTTTGCAAGGGTTTTGCCCCCACAATGATATGATACCAGCTCATCATGCCCTGTTGGTATTAAAATTCAACCTTTTGTTATGAAACATGTCTTGATTCGCTAAACAAACCTGTTAATATGCCAAAAAAAACAATAAAGTAGTGTGAACAAAAAGATTAAACAATTATATGTTTTTTGTTACACCATGAAAAGAGAGTCCGTTCCTGTTCGTGCCTTTTGAGTATTAATGAAGTTTGAACTATAGACTAGAGAGTCACGAGAATTATCTTAGGTTTTTGATAGTTTCCACATAGTCTGTCACCTAGTGCAAGAGTCCAAAACTGCAACCTCCTTCTATATATATTTGTGGGACTAGATAGAATGTGAGTCTATATAACATACACGAACAGTTTATATATTTAAAGAAGAGAAGTGTGTGTATTAGATTGGATAGTCTGGAATTATGCATTAAATCTAATTATATCCACGAATTAGATTGCATAGTATGGACTTATGCATTAAATCTAATTCTATCCGATTCTCAGTGATGGATGAAAATTAAATTCAATCTGATTTGTTACTTTATGAATTAAATCTGACGGGGTTAATTTTTTTCACGGGAATTGGATTGTTTTACGAATTGATCATTTTCTAAATAACTCAATATCATTATTTTTTAACCATGGCTAAAACTTAAAGATTAGTAGGTCTTTAGGGTTAAAAGTTTTAAGTTAGTTGGCCTTTAGGGGGGTTAAAAGTTGATAAAATTTAAAAAGAATAAAGAAAATAGAAATAGTGCATATATAATGTATCCATACTATTATTAAATATGTAAAGAGTTTCAATATTTATTTATTAATATAAAAAAATATTTATTAATTGATATAAAACTCTAAAAATTACATAATAAAATTCAAATTACCTATTTATAAAAACAAAAAAAAATTACCTAATAAAATAAATCACCACTTTCAAATTACTAGTTTCTATAAAACTGTAACACAAAATCTATATCTATATCTATATTATTATTATAAAAGATAATGACATTCATTGCCCCGTTATAATTATGTCATTATCAGGAGATGACACATGTTATCATTCTATTAATCCCATGAGTTTATAAATAGAGGCATGGAGGAAGGAGGAATGGTACAGAAATTGAATTGAATTGAAGGGGGGGGGGGGGGGGGGGTGGAAGTAGCTTGGACAGCTATTTGTAGACCTAAAGTCAATGGAGGGTTGGGTTTCCCTTGCTTAGAGTTAACAAACAAAATTTCTTGCCTCAAACACATTTGGAAGTTATATGCTATGAAAGACTCTTTATGGATTGCTTGGGTTCACAGATACCTCATAAAGAATAGAAGTTTTTGGACTGTCAAAACATCAGCACCAAGTTCTGGATTCTGGAAAAGATTATTAAAACTAGGGGGAATAACAAGGGGTCTAATTAGGCACAAGATTGGCTTAGGTCTGAATACAAGTCTATGGATTGATTACTGGCTCCCAAATGGTCCTATCTCA